TTTTAACATAAACCATCTACATTTCTTTAGCCTTATAGAAGGATGCAGGCAGACGGGTATAGCATGGCCTTTTGCACACTGAGGTACAACCTCAGCTCTTTAATTTTTTTTTTTTTTTTTTTGAGGAAGAGTCTTACTGAGTTTCTAAATCGACCAGGCTGGGCTTTAATATGGGATTTTCCTACCTCAGCCTCCCAGAGTGCTGTGATTATAAGTGACTCTACCATTTCCAGCTTGGGTTGTATCATCTCTTCAGGGCCCAGGGGTACACTCTTTTGCCTCCTTTCCCCACAGGGCCTGTACAGCTGCCACTTGTGAGAGACATTGTGGTGTCTGTGTTCCTGACACAGGGAGTGCGAGCTCCACAAACTCAGACATGTTCACCATACAGTAAGAAAATTATCAGCCAGTGTCCTTGATAAATACATGTGCAAAATCCTCAATGAAATACCAAAACACTGGGTTCAACAGCGTATTAAAAGAATCAGCCAGGCATAGTGGTGCACATCTATAATTCCAGCACTCAGGAGGCTGAGGCAGGAGGATCACTGCAAGTTCAAGGCCAACCTGGGCTAAATGGTGAGTTCAAGGCCACCCTGAACTACACAAGTCCCTGTTTCAAAAGAAGCAAAAAGAAAAAAGAGAGAGAGAGAGAGAAGAAAAGAGGTCATACCTCCCAGTCAAGTGAGGTTTATCACTGGAGACTAAGATTGGTTCCTATAGACAAATCCACAATGGATACAACATATAAAGAGAACAAAGGATAAGGGGAAGATGCTCATTTCAATAAATGCAAGAAACCACCTGAAAAATGCAACATTCTTTCACCAGAGAGACTCAGTAGGCAGGTGCAGAAAGAATGTATCTCAGTATAATAAAGGTCGTCTGTGATAAGCCCATAGCTAACACACTCTGTGGTGAAAAGTTCAAAGCTTTTTCTCTAAGACACTCACTCTCTCTGCTTCTGCTGAATGCAGTAGAAGCCCCAGAAGAGAAATTACTAGCAGGACAAAGAAATAAAGGACATTCAAATGGGAAATAAAGATGTGAGATGGCCTCTGCAGATCTCAAACTTGCAATTCTCCTGACTCAGCCTCCCCAGTGCTGAGATTATGGGCTCTCACCACCATGCCTGGGTCTTGACATGATCTAATGTACAGAAAATCCTGAGGCATCCACCAAAAACATCATGAGAACTAGTAATTGAACTCAGTAAAGTTTAATGTTATGAAATTAACACACAAAAATCAGTTGTGTTTCTATACACTAACAACAAAATATCAGAAAGAAAATAAGAATAAAAATTCACTTATAATAGTACTAGAAATAATGAAATACCTGGGAATAAATTTATCCAGTTAGGTAAAAGAGTTGTACACAAAACTACAGAACTTTTTTTGGATTGAATCCAGGACCTTCACACTGAGATAGATAGCCCATCTGTTTTTAAATTTTTATTTTAAGATAAGACATTGCTAAATAGCCAAGTTGTCCAGGCTTGGCTTGAACTTGTGATCCTCCTGCCTCAGCTACCCAGAGTTCTCGGATTATAGTTGTGTGCCACCATATCCAGCTAAAACACTGATGGAACAAATCAAAGGGCCAAGGATATAGCTCAGCAGCATAAGCACCTGCCTGGCAAGTGTAAGGTTCTGAGTTCGAGTTCTGGTACAAAAAAAAAAGGAAAGAACTTGACATGACACAAATAAATGGAAAGATATTCTGTGTTCATGGACCTCAAGACATAATGCTGTTAAGATATCCATACCAATTTGAGTGATTTATAAATCCAATGTAATTCCTATCTAAATTTCAACAACATTTTTTTCACAGAAATAGAAAAATAATCCTAAAATGTCTGTGGAAGTACACACACACACACACACACACACACACACACACATACACGACAGAGCTGAGCACGGTGGCACACCCAGAACTCAGGAGGCTGAGGCAGGAGGGTCATTGTGAATTTGAAGCTGCCTGGGCTACACAGCATGACCCTGCTCAAAACAAACAGACAAACAAACAAATGCCTAAGAGGTATCTGGAAAGATACACAAGAGCTAGGAAGCATGGTGCATGTCTTTAACTCCAGCTATGTGGGAGGCTGAGCCAGGAGGATTACAAGTTTGAGCTTAGCCTGGACAATTTAGCAAGGCCTTGTCTCCAAATAAAAGCAAACAGGGCCGGGGATCTGGCACAGTGGTAGAGCGCTTGCCTAACATGTAGGAGACCCTGCTTCCCTAATACTACAAAAACAGTGCTAAGTATTCCTTAGCAATAAATCATCAGGTAAATGTAAATTAACACCTGTTGGGAGAACTGGTACGGAGCAGATAACCGAGGACAAGTGTCAGGAAGGACGTGAAGAAGAGGCAGCCATTGTACACTGTCAGGGTGGGGGGACTGTAAATAAATGCCCTCATTATGGGAAGCACTATGGAAGCTCTTCGACAAATTAAAAACAGAGCCACCACATGATTCAGCAGTCCCACCTCTGGGTTTGGAAACAAAATCAGTGTCTCCAAGAGATCCCCGCATTCTCACATTCGCTGCTGCGAAAGTCTCAAGAGTGGACGGAGGGATGTGATCTAAGCCTCTGACAGAGGCTGGGTGGGCAGAGGACGTCCAGGTGCGTGGTGCAGGGTCCCTCAGCCTTAGGGAAGAGCCAGGAGGTGGTGCACGCCTGGAGCCCCAGCACTCTGGGTGGCTGAGGCAGGAGGACTGCAATTTTGAGGCTAGCCTGGGCCATTAGAGACTTGGTGAGGAGGAGGAGAAAGAGGGGGAGGAAAAAGGGGAAGTCTTTTCATTAGTGACAACATGGAGGCCGTCCTATTAAGTGGAGTAAGTTGACACGGATAGAAATACTGCACGATGTCACTTGTGTCACACCTGAGAAACCACAGTGGTACCTCCCAGAACCTGGAAGGTAGTGGGGACCTTTTGTGCTCCTCTAGTGACACGGGTCCCCCTCCCGCTGCCTCAGAGCTCCAGTGCCGAGGGTCCCCCACAGGACACGAGGCCACACAACCTCCTACATCCAAACGCTGTGCTGTTAAGTAAACAAGTTAGGGATAGACACAGAGACGTCACCGTCCCCTGCAGAGGCATCCAGGGTCACACTGGCAAGTGGCATCAGTAGTGTCCACCAAGGTGTTTGCTGGTTGCTTGGTTTGTTGGAGACAAGGTCTCGCTGTGTAGCCCAAGCTGGTCTCAAGCACACCGTGGACTTACTGATTGTACTGTTAAAGCGCTTAACTGTGAGTTTGAAGAATTTAACTTTTAATAGTGCCTGGATTTAGCAAGTGGCTGTTAAAACTCCTGAAGATTTGCCAGGAGGTGTTGTATAAGCTCCCATGAGTCCGCCATGGTGTGCCTAGGTCTGCCCGGTCGAAGTTCAAGGCCTTTTTACTCCTGGGGACTCTGCTTTACTTTTAAACTGTGTGTTTGGTTTTTGCTCTTCTGTTCACCCTGTGGCATACTCAGTGTTTTCGGTGTGTGTGTGTGTGTGGTACTGGGGACTGAACCCAAGGTTTTCTCCCTGAGCTATACCTCCATACAATTTTATTTTGGTACCGGGGATTGAACTCACGACCTAGGGCTTGCCAGGCAGGTGCTTATGCCGCTGAGCTAGATCCCTGCCAACAATTTTGTTTTGTATTTTAATTTTATTGTGAGACAAGGTCTTGCTGAGTTGCTAAGCTTCCCAGGTTGAGCTTGAACTTGTGATCTTCCATCTTAAAAATATCATATTTGACTTTTTTTATTAGCACATGTGCTAATAAAATAGATGATGGGTAATTTCCTTGTGTGGAGATGGTGCACATATATAACACGCCTTTAATTCCTTCTGTTTCCCTTTTCCTCCCTTCCCTCTATCTCTTGATTCCCTTCCTGTTTGAGAAAGATATAGCTCCTACTTCCTATTATCTACCTTTTATTTTGTTCTTTATTTAAAATCTGAGTTTCTTGCAGAAGAGAAACCATCTTACCTAGAGTAAGCTGATGTGTTTGATTTATTTCACTTAGTATTATGGTCTCAAGGTGCATTCATGTTCCTACAGATGGCTCAAGTGTATCCTTCTTTTATTGTGGAGTGGTACTCTACTGTGCATAAATACCACATCTTCTTTACCCATTCATCTATCAATGGGCGTATTGGGTCACATCCAAGATTTAGCTGTTATGTGTTGTGCTGCTATAAACGTGGGCATGCATGGATCACTCCAATGTGATGCTTTTAACTTTGGGAAGACACCTATCAGAGGAATAGCTATGGTTATCACCAAGACATCAAATAATAAAGAGTGCTGACATCACATTTTTAAAATAAGAATAAAACCTCCTGTACTTGGTGGGAATGTACCCTGGTATGCCACTGTCGAAATCACTATGGAGAGTCCTCAGAAATCTAAAACTGGACCCACTTGACCCAACTATTCCACTTGAGACCCTCCTGCCTCAGCTTCCCAGAGTGTTGGCATGCACCACTGCTTCTGCCAGGATCCTGGATCACTGAGGGCAGGGACTCTGCATGACCTGTTTGTGGCTGTCCCTCTAGTTCTGAGGACCACACCTGGGAGGTGCTTAGCAAAGAGACTGATCCCTGCCTGGCATTTTCCCTGACTGTGAAAGTAGGAATGAGATTGAGATTCCTAACAGTGAGTCTGTATGCCATGGAAACGACTCAGCGGGCCCTGCCTGTTTTCCTGGAATGCGCAGAATCATGTCCGCTGGTGTCTCCTTGCTGCGGGGAGGAGGAGTAGGAATGGAGGATGGAAGTAAAAGAATAAGAGAGAACCTTTCCCGGGACTTGGCACAGCTTCCCAGGAAACGCAGCAGCTCCTCGTCTGAAGCTCAGTGGAGAGAGAGGAGGCCCAAGGGTCCCACCCCGAGGCAGCGGGCACGTGCAGAGCGGGTGGCTGGACCCCAGGAGCCGGGGGCCTCGGTACACAAGCCCCTCCAGGGAGCTGAGAGAAAAGGGAGTGGAGTTCGGGGTTGTATGGCTTTTATTGTTTGTTTGATTTTCAGAGATGGTAAGAACTTTGAGAATTGTCTTCTTATGGGTATGAAGACCTCCTCCTCTCTGTGCCCAAGGGGGTCCTGAGTAATGACAGTGACACTGTGAACGAGGGGAGAGAAAACTGAACAGCTGCCCTGGGAAGAGGGGTGGTGCCTGGAGTGAGGGTCAGGGTGCGGGGCTGGACCCCTGGGTCTGAGGGAGGAGGGCTGGGCCAGCTGGCCAGCAGTGACTCTATGGTCGCTGACCCTGCATTGTTCTCTGGATCCAGCTCCTGTACTTGCACAGGTTGGTGTAGACCCCTGGGTAACCAGTCAGGGCGCAGCGTTCCATCCCCCAGGACACGAGGCCCTGGAGCTTTCCTCCACACACGAGGGGTCCCCCAGAGTCACCCTGAGGAGGAGAAGGGGAAGGGACAGAGATGGAGTACAGGTGTGGAGGCGGAGGAGGTAGGCAGAGATACCACCATGCCCGGCTCTGAGCCAGCTGGAGAAGGCCTTTGAGGGTCCTCTGTCTCCCAGGCCCTGGGCTAGTCTCTGTCCCTGGGGTCTCACAGGGCTCTCCCCATCTTTGTGTCTTTTTCACTTCTCCCCTTCTCTGCCTCTCTCAGAGATGCACTCAGCTTTCCAGAGGTCCCAGCACAGTTTTCCCAATTCCCCCACTGAGGGCTCCGCTCCACACCCTTGCCATGGACTGCTGTGTAACTCCACCAACCCTAAGGGGTGCCGTTTCCCTAGGGCCAGGAACTAAGGCCTAAAGAACTCAAGTCCGAAGGGCACAGGGCTGTCATTCTCTGTCCCTGGGGTTACCACCTCACCTGCTTTTCCTCTCCTGAGCTCCTTTGGTACTGAAGACCTTGCCCCAAACGACCTCTCATCAGCTCCCACCCTGGCCTCACCTGACAAGAGTCCTTGCCGCCCTGGGGGACTCCGGCGCAGACCATGCCAGCAGTGATGGCGCCAGGATAGGCCTGCTGGCACTGTTGATCCGACATGATGTTGATATTCACGCACTGCAGAGCATTGGGGTACCTGGCTGAAGGAAGGGAGTTTCAGGGGTCATGACTCCAATCTGCCTTCCCTTAAGACCCAGGAGTCCAGCCCCCTTCCTCAGACTCAGGCTCTAGGGCATGGCCTCCCCTGCTCAGGCCCCGGGGTCGGGCCTGGCCTCCTCCCTCAGGCTTCCTCCCTCATTCCCGTGGGTCTAGGCCTCTCCTTCCAGGATTTAGCAGTCATTACCGATAGGGCTGGATATGGTGCCCCAGCCGGATACTAGGCAGGGAGTCCCTTTGCTAGCGCAGGACTGGGCCAGGGGGATGGGCCTCACTGCCCTCCCGATCCTCAAAGGCTGCCTCAGTCGCAGCAGCATGAGGTCGTTGTTGTGGGTCCTGGCGTTGTAGCCGGGGTGTGGCACCTGGCGCTGCACGGGCAGTATCTGCTGGGTGGCTTCCCACCTCCTCAGGTTGTGCTTGCCCACGGCGACATAAAGGATCCTGGCCCACGTCCCCCAAGAGAAATGCTGCTTAGGTCTGAGCTGGGGACCCCTCCCGAGCCTATCCCCTTCCCCAGGTGATGAGTTTTCCCCCTGTCTGGTCTTCCTCCCTCTCTGGGCTCTGACACTTTCTCTTGGGCCAACACATCCCCTCTGAGCCCAACCTCATCCAGGGACCCCTTCTCAGGCTGTGCTCTGGCTCTTTGCTTAGGTGTAAAGTGATGGCTGGCATTCCTGATTCAATTCCAGAGCCCCAAGTTCTACGCTCTGAGTTCTAAATGAGACCCCTAGGTTGTGACTCCAGGCTCTAAACCAGTGTCAATATTATGGAGTCAGCTCCAATCTGATACTTCCTTGGGCTTCAGTTCTAGCCATTCCCAGTTCTGACTCTAGGTTAGCATGGGGATTCGAGGTCACCTGTGTATTACGGCATGGTTTCTAGATTCTGAGGGGAGCTTTCTATTTCAGGATGGCTGGGGGCTTGAGTTTAAGCTCTGCACTGTGCCTTGGGTTTGGGTTTTAGATTCTGGTGTGAGCTGTTGGTTACAGGATAGTATAGAGATTCCGCACGAGCAGGAGATTGTGAGCTGAACTCATAGGTTCTGGGGACCAGGTGAGCTCACTTATAGGTTGAACTCTGGGGTCTCGAGGAAGTTTTTATAGTCTAGGTTTTGTAGGTCTAGGTGGCTTGGAATCTGTGATCTAGCTGGGTTGATGGCTCTTCTTTCTAGGACAGATTGTTTCAGGCTGAATGACACAGGTTATAATCTGGGCTCTTGGTCTGAGCTTTTGACCTTAGGCGGGCTCACTGTTCCAGATGGAGCTCTAGGTTATGATGGGAATTCAAGGATCTGGAGAGTAAATTTACCTGGGCTTTCTATTCGAGAGTCTGCACTGAGCTGCAGTCTCTAGGTTCTAGGTTGAACTTCAGTCTGGGGCACTGGTCTAATTTATAGACACTGGATGGGCTCTACTCTGGATTTTGACTTTTAAACCTAGGGCCTGGGTTCTAAGCTTGAGCCTCAAATCTGGGAGGGGCTCCGGGTTCTTATCACCTGAGTTCTGGCACTTAAACTCTGGATTCGAGTCTGGTTCTGACTTGTCCAAGAGGAGCTGTAGACTAGATTTTAAGTTAAGCCTGGAATCTGGAAGGGGCTGCGGGTTTTGGCTCTAATCTTACCATCACATGTTCCACCAGTTCTGATTTATGTCTAGACAGTATTTTCTGATCTGGAGGCTGGGTTCTAGGTAGTGGTCTGAGTTTCTGAATGGAGACTGTGCCTGAATTCTATGGTCAATCTGGGGTGGGCTGCTCTAAGTCTCCGTGTGGAGGGATCTCCAGGTATGCGTAAACTCTAAACCAGCTTATGGGTTCCTAGGTGATGACTGGTTTTCAGAATCTAAACTGAGCTGAAGATTGACAGGCTGAATTCTACATTCTGAGCTGATCTTTCTCTCTAGGATCTTCTCTAGATCAGAAACCAAGAGCCAGCTACGATGCTGGGTTCTACCAGGCTCTAGGTTCTCAGCTGAACTCCGGGGCTCCACAGATTCTAGAACCCACATGGCATAAAATGGGGCAGGGGGCACTCACGGGCGGGCACAGTGAGCGGCAGTGATGACCCACTGGTCTGACAACAGGACCCCACCACACAGAAACTGCCGTCCAGCCCCAGCCAGAAGAGCCACCTGCCAGGGCTGGGAGTTCTGGATGCAGGTGTAGCCGCCAATTATCTTGTTGTCGTTCTCTGGGCTCTGGGCCATGGCTAGGAGCAGACAGGGATGGGACGGGGAGAGCAGGTGAGCAAACGCTGTCTGTCCCCAGTGCAGCAGAAGGCCCTGTGGACGAGCTCCCTTGCTTCCCGTCTAGCCCTTCTCCCACTGTGCTCTTCCTTCCCCACCAGTGTACCATGGAGGCAACATCTCCCCACGATTGCCCTAAGACAGGCAGGGAGCGTTTTGACCTCTCCCTCAAGTCACTTCCATGGCATCTAATATTATACCCACAGCCGCAGAATGCTGCCACGAGTTCTTTCTGGCCTCACTTCTCAGCATGCCACGTGCCCCCTGCGGCCCTTCCCCACCATGCCCGGGGAGCTCCCGCCTCCTCCCCAGCCTCTCCAGGCCCCCTGGCTCTGCAGGATGGGCGATCTGATCCTGACTTCCTCCACCCACTGCACACCACCACAGCCCCGCCAGCCTCACCCCTTCTCACCTTTGCTGTATTTCCTGTATTATTTCTTCCCTGATCTGCTGGAGGAGAGCTCTGGGGTCCGCTGTGCTGATAGGACCCACACAGGGCCCTGGGGGCTTCCCTGCTTGCTTATATATCTTCCAAGTCTCCTGCCATGGCCTCTGTCCCCAAACCCACCACTTCCTACCATCTGCATGACTTGGACCTTCAGCCTCCAGCCCACACTACCCCCTCTTTCTCTGCAGGCTGCCCCTGAGCAGCCTCACTCCAAAGCCTCTCAACACCACTTCCCAGGGGCTGTCGCCCGGCACCCCCACTGTCCTCTTACCTACAGCCAGGACTTGGAGTGCGGAGAATAGAAGCAGCATTCTGGGGCTGGCTGGGGTTGCAGGTGCAGAGAGACAGCGGGTCAGATGGAAGCCACCACACAGCCAGGGGCTGAGGCAGTGAGACAGCCACTCACGCGGAGACCCAGACCCTCAGGGACATGGGGCTGGAGGCTGCGAGCGTGAGGTCTGGAGGGAGGGTGCTGGGCAGGCTCACGAAGGAGCTAGAGGTGGTGCCACTTCCTAGTCAAGTCAGCAAAGGCTTTTATCCCCAGTCTGGGCAGCTGGCCCTGCCCCCCACTGCCCTTCTGACACCCCACTTTTATGGTCTCGTTTCCCTGCCAGGACTCCTGCCTCCTTCACCTTTCCACCCCTTTCTGGTCAGAGAAGTGGTCATAGTCATTAACAAGAACCCGCCCTTGAAAGATGCTATAATCTAGAAGGAATCTGGGAAGGATGACCCTGGAGCTGGGTGGACAGGAGAGGGTGCCCTTCCAGGGTGGTGTAGATTGGGGGGTGGACTGATGAAATTGGGGTGGGGGCTCAGAGGAAGGAGAGGGAGAGGCTGGGGGGCAGAGGGGAAGTAAAACATGAAGGTGGAAAGACTGAAGTGAGGGGCATACAGGGGAGGGAGAGGTGGGGAAAGAGGGGAAGAGAATGTAGATGAAAAGTGAGACACAGGGAAGAGGCAGCCCAGAGACACATGGAGAGGTGGCATGGATGGGCGGGAGGAGAGAGAGGCGGGGGTGGGGATGTGGCCGCCCCACCAAGATGGCGGCAGAGGTGATGGAACGGGGCAGGCAGGGAAGGAACTGGTGATGGATGGGAGAAAGGGGAAGGGGACAAGACAGGCAGGTGACCCCAGGGAGGCTCAAGGAGCAGTGGTTCCAAGGATGGAGACACAGACAGAAGAGCTGAGGGGCGGTCACCACAGAGGGAGAGACGCAGCCCAGGAAGGGACAGGTGGGAGATGGGCAGGAGGCCCTGGGGTTGGGGTCCTCATAGTCCTGAGAGGTGCAGAGCAGGGGCCTCAGCAGGGGGAGGAGAGGCAGCACTGGGACTGGAGGCCCCTAGCCAGGGCCCTGCATTGGGGTGCAGAGGAACCGGGTGCACAGGCTGAGGCAGAGCTGAAGACCCAGAGACAGGGAGACCTGGGTACAGAGACCTAGGGAGTGGGGGTGGAGACCCAGACACATCAGGGGCTGGCTGGCTGAGGTGGGAAGGGGTCCAGTCTGCCTGTGGGCGGGGGCCCTGGGACTGAGGGTTCTATCCGGACTTTGGGGATGGCCTGCTGTCCACAGCCCCTCCCCCAGCCTCTTCAATTCCCTAATGATTATAATTTGTCCCTGGGCCTTGGCAGCCCTGGACCTGGACCACGCGGTGACTCAGAAGGCTTCCGCCTGCCCTCTGCCTCACCTGCCCTGGGACAGTTCCCAGCTACTTTCCTACTAGACTGTGCCTGCAGCCCAAGATTTTGTTTGCCCAGGCACCTCAGCCTCCCTAAAAAATCCTCTGGGAACACAGGGATGAATAAGGTGGCACGAGCAAGCTGACCTGTAGGATGGGTCCTGTGTGAGGGAGTGTGTGTGTGTGTGTGTGTGTGTGTGTGTGTGTGGTACTGGGGGTGGATCCCTGCACACTGAGCTACATCCCTCACCCTATTTGTTTATATATTTCTTTTTTTTTTTTTGTAATGAATGCATTGCTATGTTTATATATTTCGAGGCAAGGTCTTGGCTCGAGGCTAAGTTGTTCAGGCTGCACTCAAATTTGGGGTCCTCCTGCCTCAGCCTCCCAGACTTCTGGGATGGCAGGGGTGCACTGCCACACGTGGGGAGTCCTGGGTCTCGATGTAAAGGTGGTGGTTATCAGAACCCACACTGAGATGAGGTGACATGAATTCTATATCCGTGGGTGCATGTGCATACGCAAATGGCCACCTCTAAATGGTGACTGTGGGGTGAAACCTGCAGTCCAGGTGACAGCGTGGCAGCCACACGGCCTTCCTGGTTTGCATATACAAGATGTCCCCCTTCGGGGAAGGTGTGGAAGGGCACATCAGACTCCCTGTCCTATACATGTGACTTCAGGTGAGTCTCTAATTAACTCAAAAGAAAATAGAATTCTGTTTCCTAGAACACACTGAGCTCCAGGGAATCCCTGGTGAGCCCAGAGGTGTCCAGGACAGGCTGGTGACACTTCTGCAGCCACAGCTGGGCTCCTCACTCCTCTTCCCCCAGATGCTGAACTCCGAGGTGTTCCACACACCTCTCTACCGGCCTGTAGGATGGGGTCCTCTTAGCTGGGATGTGGGCATTCAATGCAGAGCTGAAGGAAAGAATGAACACATGGCCACAGCCCTCCCCTCCACAAACTGCGGTATCACAGCTGAGGCAGCAACTCGAGACTCCGTCCAGCATCCTGGGCCTGAATGAGCCCCTGGGCAGGGAGAAAAGGCTCCAAAGTGCTGCAGGTGAATAGGAGTTTGCCAAGGTGGTATAAACAGAGCAGGAAGAAGCAAAGGACTTTGTAGGAGCTGGGAGCCGGTGTTCAGAGTACGGGCAGAGAAGGGGCTGGGACCAGTTCGGTGGAGATACAGCAGGGGGCGTTCTGCACTGAGGTGAGGGTGGAGGGAGGGAAGAGCCCGTGAGGCTGTCCCTGGGGGCTCAGGTCCGGACTTGGAGGCTGGGTGGGGATAGTGGTTGGTGGCATCACCGTGGACACAAACTTTCCTGCTTCCTGAGCGCTTTGCGCAGCCAGGCCCTGGTGAGGTGTTCTTTTTCATGGCTGCTTGCTGTGTAAAACACATGCACATTTATGACCTTATCCATCTTCAGTGCAGGCCAGTGGGACTAAGCACTTTCTCCTCAACATGCTGCCATGGCTACCGTGCACCTCCCAAAGCTTTCCCACAGTCCCCCTTGAAACTCTGCATCCGCTGGCCCACCACTTTCTGCTTCCTTCCTCTGGACCCCAGGAGCCACTTCCTTCTCTATGGACTCGGTACCTCCGGGTAACCTATGTGACAGGGATCATATTTCTCCTTTCCTGTCTGGCTTATGTTACTTAGCATAATGTTCTCATGATTCACCCCGGCTGTAGCACTTATCTGAATGTTTTCCTTTTAAAGGGCTGAGTAATATTCCCTGTGTGGACATACCACCTTTTGTTTATCCAGCTACATTGTTTGTATGGATTAGCTTGCTCCCTCCCTCTTTGACTTCCTCTTTCCTATCTACTTTACTTTTCTTTCCCTTCCTCCTTTCAATCAATATTTATTGTGTACCTACTATGTACCCACCCACCCATCCATCTATCCACCCACCCATCCATGCATCAATCCACCCATCTATCCATCCATCTACCCATCCATCCATCCATCCATCCATCCATCTATTCACCCCACCCATCCAGCCATCCATCCACCCACCCATCCATCTACCATGTTTCTAGTTATTGGGAAAACACTAATGAACAAAACAGACCAAAAATATAAAAAAATGAATATAGTATATAATGTCACTTGTTACCAGGGCTTAGCAAAGGGAGTCCCTGAGGACTCCACAGTACGGGGGCTCCAGTGAGTCCTGGGCTGATCCTGTGTGGCTGTTGTAGTGTGGAAGATGAAGACACTGAGGTCACAGGAAGTCTGGTTTCACGGGACAGGCACTGTGGGGTCCTCACTGCACAGACTGGGAAACTGAGACTGAAAAGGAGGAAGTGGCTTGTCCAGGGTCCCTTGGCAGGAGGCAGCATGCAAACTCCACAGCCACCCCAAGCCTTTCTTCTCTGGGTTCTGAGGCATGCACTTGCTTGCATGCGTCTAACAGGATTTCAACGCGTGACAGATAAATAAACTCACCATCCTTCCCAGGTGGCGTGAGAACTCAGGCGGCCCCAAGTTACTCTGTGGCCCTCGCTGTACGGACAGGAAGCCAAGATGCGGTTAGGTCATTCACCAGGTTGCACAAGGATGAGAGGTGGCCCGGATCCCAGCCCAGGCAGCAGCTCCTGGCCCCTCTGGAGATGGGGCGGGGGTGCAGCCTCTGAGGTGGGATTAGCAGCAAAGGGCGAAGACACCTCCTGCATTGTTGCAGGAAGGAAGGAGGAAAGGGTGGTGTGGATGTGGGTGTGAGTCAGGGGCAGGCAGTCCGGGCCGTCCAGTCGTTTCTGTTTTCTCCTGTGAGGCGGCAGCTTGCTGAACTCAGGGGCCACCCGGGCAGGTGGGGACTCGGGAGGCTAAGGACATGGAGCAGGCACAGAGGCTTCTGAAGGGCACCATCCTGCAGGGAGGCCCCGTGTTGATCAATTTGCTCAGGCAGCCCGGGTGGAGGCAGATGAGTCCCTGGCAGGCAGGGAGGCTGGCTGAGGACAGTCAGAGGGAAGCAGAGGATGCGGGGTGGGGGCTGCTTGGCGGGGAGGCTGCAGGGGAGGCCAGTGTCTTTGGGGTGGAGTGACAGGAAGGGCAGCGCCACCCACAGCGTCAGACGCACGGGAGGCTGTGGTCAGGGAGTGGGCTGTGGGGCTCTGTGGTTTCAGCGGTGGAGACAAGCGGTGGGTGGGACCGTGGGAACGGGCGGGGTGGGGCGGGGGCAGTGGTCGCAGGCCTTTAGGATGTTATGGGGCTGGGGGAGCTGGGAGTGCCCTTTTCTTAGGGGCTCCTGACTGCCTGTGTCTCTGTGCACAGTAAAGGGCAAGTGGCCAAGGGCCGGGCACACGGGGGCACTGGAGCCTCGGGGAAGTCCGAGGAGGTCCAGGGCTCCTGGGTACCTGGAGGAATCGGTCTTATCAGAAGCAGCTTGTGCAAGAGGCAGAGCCAGGACTTGAACCCAGATCATCTGGGTGCTAAACTCCCAGCAGTATCCCCTGATGGAGCCCTGGCCCCTGGGGCAGAGTGTGCAGGAAGAGGACATGTGGGAGGAGCTGACAGATGCCCCTCTGTCTTCCCTGGCTCCCGGGAGTCTGGGGTGGTGGTATTTTAGGACTCGCCCTGTGCTATGCCCCAGTTCAGCCTGCAAGATAATGCAGGACGCCAGCTCCCAGATGAGGATGGCCAGGAGGGGGACGCCCACTGCAGCTGGGTGAGTGAGGGCAGTGCCGGGGTGCGAACCCCAGCCCTCCTGCCTGGATGCCTCTGTGCCAGGGGTCCCAGGCGGCTCTGTGGTCACTGCTCAGCAGTGTATGAGTCAGTCTCCACCCTGCGACCCGCCAGGCAGCCTCCGTGTGGGCCCCTGGGGCTTCTCCCTCTCAGACCCGCTGACTCCAGTTCTGTTCCTGTGGTCCCTGGGGGCTGACTTCGAACCCCAGGAGCGGCCCGACTCCTGCCCCGCTCCCGCCTGCCTCCCATTTGACAGTTCCTGTCACCGTAGCTCCTGGAAAGACAACAGAGAATCCACCCTCTCCCTGCCATGCGTGTGTCACCCTCACCACCACCGTGCGCTAGCTGTGCGCCTGCGCAGGTGTGACAACAGCTGAGTGGGTCTCCCTGATGTTTCCACACTCCGTGCCTCCGGCTCTCCCTCCCCAGGAGAGCCCAGTCTGCACTCCGTAAGGTCTGAAATCCACTGCAGCATCCCCCTGAAGCCTGCATGAAACCCATCAGAGTCCCCACTGTGCTGTCATAAAACCAAAGGCCCCCGAGCAACTGTGCCTGGCACCCATCTGTTTTTCCAACCTCACCTTGCCATCAGAAACCAAAAACCACACCCCGACCCCTGGGCACCTGATTTTCGCCATCTGCTAGGTGACTTCCTGCCTCAGGGCCTTTGTCTGTGCCATCTTGGCTGCCTGGGCTCACTTCCCACCACTCTGCCTGTCACCCTCCTTCAGATCTCAGCTTGAAGTTTGCCCTGCTCACACCTTCTCAGGTCTTCTATTTCCTGTCTCAGCCCTGGCTGGTTTGCTTCCTGTGACTTACTTTATTCTGAAATTCATTTCTTTGTTGAGTTTTTCGCTCTGTGGCTCTTGTGCCGCTGGACATCCCTCAGGTTTAATTCAGTTGCTCTTATTACACTTCTGTGCCCCGCAGCTCCGTGTCAGTTCTGACAGGGCAGGGATTTGCACAGAACTATCCTGTACCCTGGGCCTCGGCAAACGTCCACGGGAGAGGCAGTGTCTCTCTCACCAGGGCTTTATGAAGGCCTTTAGAATGTTATGGGGCTGGGGAGCTGGGAGTGCCCACCTGCACCACTGTGCTGCGGGTGTCCAGGGCCTGGCACGGCTGCTTCCCCCCAGAACTTCCAGTCACCCAGCCCAAGGCAGCACCCAGAGGTGTGTGTGTGTGGGGGGGGGAGGAGTCCAGCTCTCCCAGCTTGGCCTCTGAGAGGCTGTGGGGAATGCTGGTGTTTCACAGACCTTCTGCCATGGCCAGCATGGCTAACCCCTATATATCTTTATGGCCTGCCCTTATGAATTAGGTTTCCAAGATGCTTCTTCCCCTATTATAGAAGAACTACTACACTTTCACGACCATATATTAATAATTGTTTTCCTAATCAGTACATTAGTCTTGTAGCAGCAGGGAGGCCTCTGGGTCCCTGCAGGGGGTTCCTGTGATTGCAGGCCTCAGCCACAGCCTCCCCTACCCTCGCCTCTCCGGGGTCACAGCAGCCTCTGCCTCAGGTCAGGGGAAGTCTCCCTTGGCTTGCTTAGGCGACATATTATGGCTTCCTCTTTTTACGCTCAGGTAGGGCTTCCATTACCAGCTCTTGGGGAGCTCTTGGGGAGCACTCAGGTCGTGCCCGGGCTTTTCCCCACCCCACGGCCCTAGCCATGCAGCACTGGCCACTGCCTGCTGAGTCCTTCGGGGACCCCTGCCCTGGTGGAGTCTGAGCGCCCGGCACTGCGGCCCCTGCCCAAGGCCTCCGCCTGCCCTTCCCTGCCTGACACTTCTGTCCCCTCCCCAGCGAGCTCTTACTCATCTCCTGGGTCTCGGCTTAAACAACACCTCTTCCAGGAAGCATCCGTGACGCACCCCGCCGGGCCGGGCGCCCCACCTCCGGGCTCCCCCGTGTCCTTCCTAGCCCTCTGCGGCACGTAGCCCTGTGGTCCCGACTTGCCAGTGTCCGTGCCGCCTCCTGCACCAGACAGGAAGCCCATGGAGGGCAGGGACGCGGCTGACTCAGCTGTTTCCCCATCGCTGCTCCGCAGGGCCTGGCGCTGGGAGGCAGCAGGAAGTGTCTGTGGTGTGAAGAAAGCCGTGATCCTAATCTTTCCTCTCCTCCGAAAGCCTGCACGTTCCACCGCTCTCAGACCCCAGGCAGGCCTGGGAACCCTCCTGCTCCGGCCTCCCCTCCGACCCACTGCACACGCTGGCCCTTCTAGGAAGGCTCCTCCCGCGGCCCTGCTCTGCGCACAGGCCTTCTCCTGGGCCTGCCACTCTCTGCGAATGCACACAACACGCTCCAGTCCGTGCTCGCCGCCGCCTTCCCTGCCGCATATGCTGCTTCCCCTCGTGTTTTCAGACCTCTGGCGAGGGCGGGTTTTGTGTATGTTTCGTTCACTGCTATCACAAATTGCACCAGACTGGTGTGTGTTGAATACATGAACACCAGACCGTCCAGGTAAAAGAGCGCCCATGTCTCCGTGGATCCTTAGGAGCTCTGCTGACCCGAGTCTCCGTCTCCTGGGGCCTGGCTAGGGGTCCAGGAGGGGCCGGGGACTCGGGGCTCCCTTTTAGGCTTGGAAGCCCTGCTGTCACGGGCCAGCTGCTGCACAGCGGCCCCTAGTGGCCACGTCCGAGAACAGCAGCTTCTCAGGGTCGCCCAAGGAAGGTAAAGGGTTAATAAAAAAAGGGCCAGCAGGGCCCCTTGGTACTGGCCTAACTCGAGCACTGAGGGAGGCTGAGGCAGGAGGACTGCGAGTTCGAACCCAGCAGGGAAACTTAGACTTAGCGAGCCACGGGCTGGGTTCCCTGCATGGAGGTGGCGGTGGGAGGAACTCAGTGCCAGGCCCTCTCCCGAGCTCCCAAACGACAAGGTCCCCGTGTCCAGCCACGCTGTGACTCAGCGACACATCTGCAGCAAGAACCTAGGTCTTCTGGCTTCTGGCAAGAGGCAAAGCAGAAGGGTCTAGAGCCCCTGCTCCCTCCCTGGCGCGCTTCTGTGTGATCTTGGGGAAGTTACCTCATCTCTCTGGGCCACACGCCTGTCCTTCATCAGACTCACATCACCGAGCACAGGCTGACCGTGCCGGCCCAACAAGCATCCTTCCGGACCATCGAGCAAATCGCCTTGCGCCCCCTACAGCCCATTCTCCTCACAGCATCCTGAGTAAGTGTAAAAATTGAAATTGGACACATCAGGTTTAGAATAAAATCCAAGACCCGGGCTTAGCGCCTGGGAGGCTGCGGCAAGAAGATTGTATGTTCAAGTCCAACCTAGGCAATTTATCAAGACTATCTCAAAATACACAATAGACGCGTTTCATGGATGTTTGTTGAGTGAAAAGCTGACAACACTCTAACCCTGAGATAATACAGGGATTGGTAGAGCACCAACCTATGCCCTCCAGCCCAATCTAATTAGCAAACAGGGTACCAAGGAGTATGGATGGCCTCCCAGTGAGGACAGGAGACAGGCTGGAGTTTGGCGTGTCCACTGTCCAGGACAGAAAGGGAATGGAGTTCCAGAAGACTTCCAGGCAGACCTGGTGGGTTCCAGGGTGGAGGCTGAGATCGCAGAGTCTTTCCACTGGTCAGGCCGGAAGCTTCAAGGTCTCACCTCCTGTACTGCTGACCAAGAGCCTAACCCTAACCTAACGTTGGTAGCTCTTTACTGTCCTCCATGTTGTCTCCTTTCTCCAGCTGGGCTCGTGGTCTCTGTTGACACAAGCTCTCCGTAAAGGCTAATGACCTTTTTCTTCCGTGTCTGCCTAAAAGTCACATTCTCAAAGATGTCTTGGCCTCCAAACTACAAGAGCACCACCTTCCCCCTTATGTGGTTTCTCATCACCTGGCGCTGTATATTTTTTACCTCTAAGCTGCAGGACTGCAGGCTCCAGAAAAGTTTAAAAAGAACGATGTCCAGAAAAGCCTTTAGGGTGAGCAAGTATTTCTTGATGACTGACAAGATACTATCTGATGGGAAGCGATCTGGTGATTGCCTTCGGGCATCAGTTCGTTTGGATAGAACAACACTGAAAAGCGCGGGCCACGCGGTCAAGCCAGGCAGAAGGGCTGGGGGCCGGGGGGAGCCCCCCACCAAGGGCTGCATGAGGTGAGAGGACCGCATCAAGAAAAGCTTCTTTCCAGGAGGTCCCTAAGAGTCCAGGGAGATGGGAAAGCGAGGGCACTCGTGGTCAGGGGGCCAGCGCGGCAAACCCTGCAGAGGGGTCCCCATCACTGAAGTCTCCCCAGGAGTCAGGCAGGAAGCCACGCGGCCTCACCTTCTGGACCCCTGGACCGCAACCCTCTGACCAGGAGCCCTCTGGCGGCCGGACCTTCGTGTGGACGGCCGGCTGGACCACCGTTTATTCAGGACCTCAGTCCTCCCAAAAAAGCCGGGATGCAGGATTTGAGATTTTTTTCAGGGAACGCGGAAGATCAAAAGCTTAGGTCAGCAGCCCAGGCTCACTAGCCTCTGCTTCCGAAGAAGCCCAAAGCCTGGGTGCCTGCCAGCCTCACTGGGCCACGACAGAGATGTGGCAGGGCGGTCCGTTGGGGAGGGGTGAGGGCAGCATGGGGAGGGGGACCCAGTAATACCCGGGTGCTCTGGAGCCAGGTGGGAAGGCCTAGCTCAGTTAGGAGTCCCAGGCTGCCGCACAGGAAGTGGAGAGGGGTGAGGGGCGGTATGGGGCTGCAGGAACTGGGGCTGGGGTTGTGGCTGGGGCTGGGGCTGGAGCTGGAGCTGGGCTAGGCAGGGAGATGGTGGACGGTGACCGTGAAGGCCCTACGTCCGCCCCGTTGGTGACCTCGCCGATCTCAGCTGCAAGCAGGGATCACCGGGCTCACGCTGCTGACAGGGCCCGGGCCCCTCAGTAGGCAGCTGCCTTTCCGGGTTCAGGTCGTGCGGTGCTGTCCCCTCGGGCCAAGGTAGCGAGGTTCCCTCGTTGTCCGGGAGCGGGGCCCGGGTCCTCGAAGGCGGTGGCCTGGAGGCCGCCTGGGCGCGGCTCCGTGGTCCCTCATTCCCCTACCCCGCTCGTGCTTGCAGTCACCCTTGGCCAGGCGGGGCCGGCCGCGGGCCAGGCCGTCCAACAGCGCGCAGGCCTGGCAGAGCGCGCGGCTGGCCAGCACCCCGCAGCGGGAGCAGGCCGTGGTGGACGCACGGCCGGGGCCAGCGCCCTGCGCTCAGCCGAGTGCACCAGGTCCAGCGCCGCCGTGGGCCCGAGGCGCGTACACGCACCCCTCGGAGAAGTAGTCCAGACGGCGGGAGTGCGCGTACAGCACCACCTCCTTCTGCCAGGCGAACTGCAGCGGGCGGCAGCGGGGAGCGCGCCCCCCTCGCCCGCCGAGCCCAGGCCCCCGCCCCGGGCCAGCCGCGCCGCTTCTCCGCGCAGAAAGTTCATGAGCACCATCTCGGCTACGACGTCATTGTGGCCTGTGGGGGAGACAGGGTGAGAACTGCTGCGGCCCGGACCCCGACCCCAGACCCCGCCTCCAAAAGGGCACCGCGGGGCAGCCAGCGGGGCTGCAGGGGGACAGCGAGCACCGCCTGTGGCATCAAGCCCTGTGCTCCTGTAGGCCCAGCCCCAGCGGCCCTCCTAATCGCGGGAAGCTGTGCCCGTGTTGGGTTACAGGGTTAGGGTGGGAGGGTTGAGGCTGCAGATGGAATTGGGGGGGGGGGCAGCTGACTTGTACAGGGAGAGAACCTCAAATGACTTGGGCGGGTGCCGCACAATCACGAAGCTCCCTGCAGTGTTAGAGGGAGGTGGCAGTCAGGATGGCAGATGGGAGGGCAGGAGCAGGGTCTGGAGCACTGTACCATGAGGACTCCACACCCAGGGCAGGCTCTGAAGGTGGAGGAATGGCCAGGAGCCAGGGAATGCAGTGGCCTCTGGAGGAAGGAATGTCAGGGAAGCCTTTTCCCTAGGGCCTCCTGCAGGACATCGACCCTGCTGACCCCTTAGCCCAGGCAGAGAACCTTGCCTGATCTCTAACTACCACAAACTACAAAGTAATTTGTCACAGCACCAACATAAAACCAGTCATGCCTGACTCAGTGACTCTGGCCACACAGTGTTGTTATTTTTGTTGACTAAAATGGAAACTAAGTCCAACTCTGTATCTCTTCAAGTTGCATTTGAGTTTGTATCAGTGGTTGTCAAGTAGGGGTAATTTTGCCTAACCAGCCTTAGCAATACCTAGAGAGACATTTAGAGTTGTCACGATGTGGGGGAGGGTAGGAGTGGGGTGGAAGTGTGGGGGAGGGTTCTAGTAAGTAGTGTACATCAAGGATGCTGCTAAAATCCTGCGGTGCACAGTACAGCCCCCCCCCCCATTAACCTGGCCCCAAAGGTGCTTAAGTTGAGAAGCCCCAGTTCATGAGGCAAAACCCACCAAGAACTTTGCTATAATTTTGTTTGAAGTAATAGTTACTTTCTAAAGGTACCTGCCAAGGCCCAGGACCTTGGGAGCAGGTGTCTTTGTTCCCAGAAACTATGTCTGGCTAGATGTTTACTGTCCGAGAGCCTGGTGACTTCAGGTTACAAACTGCATTACTCACAGGAGGCTGGGTCTGTTCCATACCCTGTCATTACAAACCCACTTATGAGCTCGATAATTAGCATAATGATTGCAAAATGCCTTTGAAAACATTGTATACACAGAGGATAAGAATCATCTTTACAAGTTAGGGATTTTTCTAGACGCTTTCATTATCTTTAAAACATAATTAATAAGTGATTCTAATTAATTTGAAGGCCCAAGGCAACTTTTTGTTCTTCCACACTAACCACCCTTACATGGAAAGGATTATTCTTCTATTTTCCATCAGAGAACTCAAAGGCCCAGAGAGGTTCAGGGATGTGTCCACATGCAGAGCAAACAGTATGCTAAAGCAGTGAATCAGGCTCAGCCTGCCATCCTGAGTCCACGCCCCGGCACAGTGGGAGGAGAAACACAGAGGTTCCTGGGCTTGCGTACCCCTCGGGGTGTTGATGTGCCAGCTGGTTTCCTGCTGCCATCCCTGTGACAGTGCTGCCTCTTAACTGGTCTCCTTGGCTCTGTCTCGCCTCTTTAATGCAGGTTCCTCACTGCAGCGCTGGTGAGTTTTTCAAAGACTTCACTTTCCCCAGATTCCCCACTGCCCAGAGGGTAAGGATGGCACTCTTCCTGCATCTCCAGCTTCCTCTGCCCTTTCTTTCTGGGTTCTAGCCACACTGGACTTCTCCGGGCATCCCAAGCTGGCTTCACTAGCTTCCTCCACTACAACTCTTCCCTTTCACCTCCAGCCTTCAGATTCCAGGACTTCTCACTCCCTCTCATGTCATAAAGTCCTCTTGTTACATACACTGCCCATGAATGTTCTTCAGTAACATTTATGATCATTTGTAATTTTGTATGTGAGAAATGTGCAAAAGTAGGAATTGTGCACAATTGTATGTTTGGCCCAAGCACAAGGATGACTCTACCACCACATATATATGTAATATATATCATTGTATGTATACTTTATATGCAGCGTAACTATAATGAAAGTATCTATATTTACGCCCACAAATGACTTATACACATACATGTGCACATTGTTTACTCCTAACTGGTCTGTCATAATCATTTAGGTGTCATTAATATACCTGTCCCCCTCCTTCTAAGAGCCTTCACATTGAGGTACATTCTAGGCTATTTTATTTTTTGAGACAAGGTCTTTCTAAGTCCCTAAACTGCCCAGGTTGGGCTCAATCTCAGAATCCTCTTGCCACAGCCTCCTTCAGTGCTGAGATTACAGATACGCACCACCACACGGGGCTAACATTCCTATTTTAGGGATAAGAAAACAGAAGTGAAGACAGTGTAAGAAATTTGCTATAGTCATAGTTTGCATCTGGCATGGGGGAGACATGTAATATATTGAAAGAAAGGATGAGAAAGAACCCAGAATGTTGGAAACAACTAAAAATAAGTATAAAGGACCAAAGATCTAAATCTCAGAAACCGACTCCTTTGTCAGTGCACGCAGCCCAGAGTGGCGGCCAGACCCAATAATGCAATAATGCTCCACCTGGTGCCACGATGTCCTAGGACTGGGAACTTTCCAGGCTGAGCTTCAGCCCCATGAATGTTCTTCAGTAACATGGAGCATGCGCATATTCTGTATCAGGGTACCCCATTTGGGCCCTGGACAGGGTCTCTTGGCTCACCTCTTGGACATGCGCCCCAGCGCCCTCCCTTCCGCCGCACATGCGCCCCATCGGCGGGTTTCTCCCCTCTGCCGCGCCTTCGCTCATTGGTCAAGACACCTAGTGGCTCCCACGAGACGCGCCCCCTCTCCTAGCGCTCCACGCCGCAGCATCTGCACACGGTGCGGCCGTGCTGCGGGCCACTGTGTCCATCGTCCAGCCCCCAAAGAAGTCCTCGTAGGCTACGACGGTGAGCCGCAGGCCCCAGCGCGCCGCCTGGCGCCGCACGGTCGCCAGCGCCGCGTCCCGGTAGCCGCCGATGCCCTGGTCCACCGCCAGGAGGCGCAGTGTGAGGCCCAGGCGCGGCGCCAGCTCCCGCAGCACGTGCGCCAGCTCAGTGGAGTCCTTGACCCCCAGAGGCGCTCACGACCACCACGGCGCCAGGTGGCAGCAGGTGGCCCGCGACCACCATGTGCAGCACCTCGGCCCCGAAGGCGGCGCAGAAGCGGGGGCCGCACAGCGCCTGCCCTGAGCGCGGGCGGCGGAGGGCGGCGCGCGCCGCGTGGCAGGAAGCACAGGTCGGGCGGGCATCTCCGGGTCACGGAGTCACGGGGTGGCGTCTCCTGGACGGGAGAGAGGTGGGGGGAAGCGGGTGATGTTCGGTGCCCTGACTGCGGGGAGGCTGTGCGGATGGCGCCTCCATGAGGAGCAGAGGGGGTCAGCGTCGCACGGGTAGGAGCCTCGTCCTGAACAGGACTGGAAGTTTCTGTCTGGGTTACGATGAGGGACACCACCATCCATCTCCGGGAAGACTTCTCAGATTGTACCCCTAAGGCACCAAAAGCAGAGGTGGTTTCAGGAGAGGAGACGAGCAGGTAACACTCAGAATTAGGTCCATGTAAGAGTTCTCGGCACGATAAAAGAGAGAATACAAAGTAAAAAATAGCCTTTATTCCAAGGATGCGGAGAGGAATCCATGACCATAGCTGGTCCAGAGCTGGAGCATGCGCACATTCTGTATCAGGGTACCCCACTTCTACCTGAACGTGGGGTACGGGATCTACATATAACCTCTGACCGGGGGTGGCGCTTAGGACGGGCACTGATGAGGCGCAAGGAGCTGATTGGAATTTTCTTTCTGCGCAAAAAGTAGGGGAGTTACAATTATGGCCGAGGAAGAAGCAGGAAGTGGTAGGCGTTCCCGCTTTGGCTTCGGCTAGGTTAGACCACCACCATAACCGAACAGTAATTTACTCTAGGGCAAGAACCTTTTAGTCCGTCCTCTCTAGAGGGATGAGGGTGCCTTTAAGGACCACTCGCACCTTGCACAGCCCTGACTTGAGGGACAGGGTGGCTGTCTGTGCTGTGGATCTCTGGGTGGGTCAGGCTCAGGAGACAAGGGTCAGCGACTCTAAGGCCAGAGGGTGGCCAGGGGTCTGCGCCTGTTTGGGGTGGGAGGAGGTGGGTAAACCTGGAAGATCAAAGGGATTCACTGTGGGGGAGGCTGCTGTCTCTGGGAATGGGCCCTACCCATTCTTCTGACAGGCAGGTGATCACGTTCTCCAGAGACACCGGGGCAGGGGACTCAGCTCTACCTCCAGTCGGCCTCTGCCTGTTTAGGCGCACAAGTTTCTCTGTCCCCATGGTGACATGGAAGGGCCCATCACACCGGTGGAGCTCGCCCCTTTTCCTGCCTCATCCCTCTCTACCCCAGCAGTGACACCAGCCTTCCACACTTTCCTTGATCCTGCCTGCCTGGGGAACCCGTAAAATCTCCCTGGGCACAGTCTCCTACCCAGGCTACCATGATAGCCAGCTTGGACTACTGCAGTAGCCCTCACTGACCAGCTAGGGTTTGCCACGTTTGCTCACACCTCAACTCAGGAGCACCTGCTCCCTCTGTCCTGTGATTTTAGAAGTTAGCATTTACTGCCAGTAACTTCCACAAGGCCAAGGGCCAGCCCCAAGTCCCTGATTCCTTTAACCAAAGGACTTTTGCAGTAAAAGGGACCTCCACTCTTCAGTTTTTCAGGCCAGAAGCCTGGGGATCTGGGACTCTTTTCTCTCTCACTACTCCCTCACTCCCCCGTGGGTGACTCCAAATTTCAAGGTCAAGTTGTGACCTTTTCTGTAGGGGCATCCTCACAACTTAAGTCCTGGATTGTCAGAGAGAAGGTGGCAGATCCTCTCTGTACCTTTAAAGCAGAACAGAAGCCAAGCACGCCATCCTCACTGCTAACCTCTCTCCCAGACCACTGCAGGGAGGACCTCACTGATCTGGCCTCCACTTCCTCTCCTCTACACAGCGTTTCTTCATGTGACATGAGTCTATGGATCTCATCTCATGGTAGCAAATGTGAATGCTCCACGAGGCCCCAGGCATTCTGGCTCCTTTTATCTGACCTCAGCCTCTCAGTCACAATAGTCTCTGCTCTCAAGGACACAAGGAGTATGCCTGCCTCTGCCCGGAGCACTGTCCCCTCCGGGTGATACAGCAGGCAGCACATGACCATCAAGCACGTCCATCAGTGCTGAGCAGTGTCCCTGAAGCCCTTTCCCCTCCCCTTGGCTTTGGACTCCACCTCCCCACATGTCCTAAGTGTTTATCTAGGGCCAGGGCTGTAGCTCAGTGGCACAGGGTCTGCCTGTCAAGCACAAGGTCCTGAGTCCATCCTTCAGCTCACTACCTTTTGTGAAACACTCTTTATGTCCTCAGGTCCCACTCAGCACCTTCTGTCATTCATGGGTGACCGAACTAAGGTCCTCAGATGCAGTCACAGCCTCATCCTCCAAATAACCCACTGGGGATCCCTCCTGAGGGCCCTGTTTTCAAGATGCTCTAGCCTGATCTGTGTCACCCTCTCACTGCAGAATCCTGTTCTTATCCAGCTGTTCTCTGGTCTTCAGAGCAGCCACGATCTCCACCCGCCACTTTGCAGCACAGGATATAAGTTAGTCTGCACTCAGTTATCACCCTGTGAATCTTTGGTCACCCAATCTTGAGGAGTCCATATCCTCAGAGAGGGAAGACTTGACAGGAGATTAGACTGTACATGTACATGTACATGTTGACAGAGCCTCACAGACTATGATTTTGAATTTCACTTTTATTCAGAGGGTGACAGTTTCCCTGGTAAGGTGTGGAGCAGAGATATAATGAGATTTGACAGATTTTTAAAGTTCTGTAAGCTTCTGTGTGGGGAAAGGCAGAAGAAACAGGAGGGCAGCGCGCAGGCTGTGGCAGCAGGCAGGGAAAGATGACCTGGGCTGCACGGAGCCTGGGTTCTGTAGGTATCAGCGATGAAGGAATAGTTAGCCTGTGTGCAGACATGACACAGAACCTACGGTCGCCTCCAGCCTACAGCCATGTCATGAAGACAGTGCGAGGTGGCTCCATCAGGACAGAGGCTCTAGAGCGGGTGAAGGGGCTCTCAGATGTACCCACTGGGGGGTCAGGGTCAGGCGGATGCTCTTATCCAGAAAAGGGAGAAGAGGGTACCCTAGCAAGAGACCAGAAGCGTGTGGGCCGTAGGCACTGGAAAGCACAGAGATGAGTGTCACCACTCCACAGAGACCTTCAGTTTTCCCAAGGCAACGGCACAACAGAACGCGGTGCGTGCAGCGACCCACGTGGGGCGGACTCATCTGGGCGGAATACAGCTCAAAAAGTCCCCGGACACGGAAGTGGCTCAGACTACGACTCCCACAAGGCCTTGGGTCTGCTCTGCCTACGACTCCCAGAATGCAACAGCCCCTCTGGAACCACTGTGGCTGTCAGTCTGGTTGGCCTACGACTCCCAGCAACCCATGCATTCCCTGGTTTCCCTCTGCATGCGGCTGTAGTTTTTTGGAGGCTGCGCAGGGGCGTGAGGCGTGACGGCATTGTTTGTACTGTGGTTGCTATGGTAGCTTAGTGTCACCACACTGGATCCCTGGATCCCTCGGAGGTTGTTGCAGCGTGCTGGTTTCCTATTTTTGTGGGACTAGTGTAGACTAGTATGTGATTTCTGCCCTTTGAGGCGGGTTTGCGGTTAGGACAAGAAGTTGGCGAGTGAAGGGATTTGGCTCAGGGCAGGCCCCCTGCGGCAGGGTGGTAGCAGTGTGCTCAGGCTGGTAGCCCTGGGAGAGGGAGCTTGGTGGGGTGAAGGGATTCTGTGTGTGAGTCAGCTGTCAGCGACTCGGGGTGTGGTTTTCCTGCACAGGTCTTGGCTCTGGGGAATGAGTGCAGGTGAGGCCCGCTGCTCAGACCTATGGATGGGAGTGAGGCTACTGCACGATCCCTGCACATTAAAGGGAAGTGGGGACCAAGATGGCCGAGAGGTGAGACCAGTCTTCGTTTATCAGAGACCCTGTAGACCCTGACATCCAAGAGGAAGAACCAAAGATTTCTTTGGCTTCTCTTCCTCCAATGCCCCCATTCCTAACCCCCAACCCCGAGTCTTTGCCATAGTGTACCCAGATCTAACATGGTCTCTGCCCTTCGGAATGTCTTTCATGAGTGCTCTCAGGGTAAAGTCAAACCTCTCAGTGTGCAATGGAAGCCCTACTCACCTTTCCGTCCTCAACATTCCCTGCCCTTTGTAGGGGTCAGGTAGATGGGGGTCAGACTCCTGAGCAGTTGACCACGGTGTGGTGAAGTCTTGCTGGGTCTCTGTGTCTCTCTTGTCCATGGAGGCTTTGTTCTCCACAGCATCTCACATGTCTGAAGACTGCACCCTGCATCTGGTCCTTGTCATAACGCTCTTAGTATCATCCCATGGATAGAAACTGCCCTGGATAAACTGCCATGGAAGGGGTCACATACTGAGCTCAGCATTATCTGACACAGAGGAAAGAGGTGTGTGTGTGTGTGTGTCCCTGTAGTGTGCTCATGCTGTCCTTGTTTTGTCCCAGGTCCACTTCTCTTCCAGCTACCTTCTAGTCTGGTTTTGTAGATCTCTCTTGGGTCTGGTTCAGGCTTCAGTGCCAAGGAACTGCACTCTGAAGTTCTTATCTCTGTCCATCTTGATGGGCCCCAAGGGTTCTCACCACTCAGGCAAGACCAAAAGAATGTGTGGGCTTCCTTACAGCTGTCAAATTGTGCATGTCTTCCTGGGTGTAAAGTTTTGAGACTCTGAGTTCAGAGTAAGGGAGCCAATTTGGGCTGAGGAAGGGGCAGAGAAGCCAGCCTGGGCCGTGGCAGGGAGGGAGGGACAGGATATTTTGGCTTCTCACCCCACTACTCTCTGAATCTGGACAAAGGCCTCAAGTCGAGTGAAACATCTCAGCCATTCCCACCATGGAGACCCAGGTCTGTGGCTGCTCTGTGTCAGCTGCATGCAGCACTAGGCCAGGTGAACTGGACCCTGGCCCAGATGTGTCCTGATCTTCAGCCCTGAGAATGCACAGCTGCAGGGTTACAAACTGGGGATGAAAATGGCAGTGTAGAATTCACTAGCCCCAGCCATGGTCTGGAAGAAAAGTTTGACTGGTATAGAATGTACAGAATGTATATAGAGATATACCCAAAATATGTGATAGCATTATGTCCATATGTATGTGTAGATGTATATTTACAGAGAATATAAACTTGCCATATAGAATATATATGTATATATTCTATAAATAAATATATAAGCACTCAAGAGTTGGACCTGGTAGATCACACCTGCAATGCAAGCTACTCGGAAATCCGTACCAGGATGATGGGAAGTTGGTGGTCAGCCTGGGCATGTTAATGAGACTGTCTCAAAAGCAGTTTAAAAGGGGTTTGCCTTTACTGTAGAGTGTCTTCTTTCTGTCTGCAGTACTAGGAAAAAAACTCAACAGGACAAAGAAACAGTCAGAAAAAATGCAATATGTGGAAGTGGGCCAGTGACTTAAAGAGACACTACCAAAGGCATGCAGATGCCAAATAAGTACATGAAGATGAGAAGCGCAAAAACTCACCAGTGAGGTAACACAAAAGAAGAAGGTCTGGAGTGAAAGAGCAGGCGTGCTGTGCTGGAGAGGTTGCAGGAGCATCTGGAATTCCTCACACTCCTGGTGAGGATGCACAGCTGTGTAATCCCTGGGCATGACAGTTTGGCAATCTCTTAATATCTGAGCACATGCTTGCCCTTACTAGTTGTAAGTCCTTGTCCTTGGTATTTACCCGGGGGAAAGGAGAGCATATGTTTGTATGTTAATATTTATAGAACATAGATAGCCCAAGCTGAGAATGACCCATACATACAGCCACAGAGGAAGCTGTGTGTGTCCATCAGCGGGATTTAGCAAGAAAAAAGGAACAAAGTGCGGACATGTGCTCCAATTTGAGTATCTAAAAATAATTATGCTGAGTGGAAAAACCCAGACGAAAAGCCTACACTGTATGGAGAGCATACAACCCAGGGTGCTGTGCAAGCCAGCAGGAGATGCCTGGGACTAGGGTGGGGAGGAAGCAGGAGAAAAGGATTGCCAAGGGCATGAGAAAGCTTTTGGGGCATGATGGGTATCTTCATCATCTTGTTCATGAAAATGACTTCCTGTATGTATGTAAATCAGAAACAAATTGTAGACTTTGAATATATATAATTTACTGGATGTTACTAAAGCACGATGGAAGATCTTTTTAAAGAAGTCCCTAACTTACGGGATTTAGCTCAGTGGTTGTAAGTGCCTTCCTGGCAAGCACAAAGTTGCAAGTTCAACAGAAGCCTATCAGAAACTCCCCAACTATCTGGTGCTATGCTTTCCTTTGACCTTTTCTGTCCAGAGGAAGTGAAGGATGGGGCTAGGATGCCTTGCTTCTGGGAATGGGCTTCTGGCTGTGCTGGGTTCTGCGGATCTGAGCCACACTTCTTTCCCTGCTCCTCTTCCCTGTTTTTACATCTGCTCCCTCTTCCTCTTTCATCTTCCTTCTCCTTTCTCCTTTCTCCTCCACTCTCCTCACTGGTGTCTCAAGTCCTTGCCCTTGTCTGAGAAGCAGGGACTTTCTGACCCTGACTCTTGGCCTCTCATGAAGAACTCTTAAGGAGCTGGCTGCACCTGGTGCCCTGACCAGCCGAGCTGGCTTAAGCTTTCATGCCTGGCAAACCAGGTGTGAATTCCATAATCCCATCAGGAATCGTACACAAGAGTCTGCAGGTCGCTTTCCATCACTGGAGTCAGATCATGATTCCCACCCCAGGAAAGCACCCCAGTGATAGGGCCCAAAGAAGCCTCTCACTTTGGTTAAGGCAAAGTTCTGGACCCCAAACCTGCCTCTTGTGTAGTCACAATAAATGACACAAGGATAGATGTTGTGTCTCTACTCTTCTATCCCGTTGTCTGACCTTGGTGACCTCCTTATCTCCTGACTTCACTTACATAGTCTGCCATATTTCTTATAAACTCAGAACAAACCTTTCCTCCCCTGTAAACTGCATCTGTGGGTTTCCTTAGGGATTTCTGTGTGCTCACAGGATGTTCTGTGTTTGTCCTAATCATGATTAGGGCTAATGGTTTTAGCAAAGGGTCATCATATTACATAATCAAAATCATAATCCTAGGTCATTAACAACAAAGAAAAAAACCTCAGGGTGTTTTTTTTTTTTTTCCTTTCCTGTCACTCTGTTGTCTTCCAGCCCTGCCTTGGATTATTATACTCCCACCACTTTCCCTGGCTTGCTGTGGTGGATTGATAACTGGTGCTCAAGTTGTAACACCAGCTGAGCAGAATCGTCATGGTGCAGGCTATGAATGTCGCACCTGAGGATTGTTTCCAAGATGAAAAGGAGACCCAGAGAGGAAAAGCTTAGCATTGTGGGTTCTTCTGACTGTTGTTCTCTCTGGTGTTGGTTTTCCCTTTGCAGTTGGTTCTTGGAGGAGCTTGCTGAGCTTCTTTCCTGATTTGAACTTGGCTGTTCTCATTGTCATAGGAGCTTGGGACCTTGTTTTCTCTGAGAATGGCTGTGGGTCATGTTGGAGGCTCTCTGGTCCTTACTTTGAGCATCACTTTTTGGCTACAGAGGGTAGGATGTGTGCTATTAAATCTCCTGGAGAAGCTTGTCATGCTGGCTTCTTAACATGAACTTGAATGTTCTCATCTTTGGAGGAGCTCATGACTTCAATGTTGCCGAGGATGGCTATGGTACTTTTTGGGGACACTCTTATCCTTAATTTGAGCATCACTTCTTCACTCAAGTGCAGTATCCTCAACCCCCTGGCACAGATCCTTCATCCCTCTGGCACAGACTTTCCGGCTTCTACTGCTGACCTTTGGGACTTCCCAATACAGATCATGACACAGACGATTCTGCTCAGCTGGTGTTACAACTTGAGCACCAGTTATCAATCCACCACAGCATGAGACATTGTTCTGGGCTCTAGCCTCCAGTTGGACTCATGGGGGGTATTGTCATGGGCTCTAGGTCTTCAGCTGGACTCATGCAGGAGGTTGCCATGGTACTCAGATTCTCAGCTGGATTCTTTGGGTCTTAATGTGTGGACAGATTTCCTGCACTCTTTCTTTTGTATTTGGGTCTTTGGGTGACCATTATGGAATAATATAATAAATTCTGTGTCCTATATAACTTTTTTCCATGCAAAGTTTGACTACAATACTTGTTAATTTGGACTCTACAGGTATAGGTATAGGTGCATATACAATTCCTTACCAGTGTTCCACTGCCATTTGCCCTCAGCCCACTGCATGCCCACCCTCCATCCAGGGACAGTGTCTTACTGTTTATTCCTGATTGTGGAAAGCAGAATAATTTGGGCCTCAGTCTCTAACCCTTAATAATCATGTTTGTAATTCAAATCTCTATTGCTGCAACAAAATACCTGAGGTTGGGTGGTTCATTAGAAAGTAAGTGTATTTGGCACAGAGTTTTAGAGGATAAAAGTCTAAAGTTTAGCAGCAGCATCTCTTTGGTCTTTGATGAGGGACTTTTGGGTGAGTCACTAATAGTGAAAAATATTTAAAAGAACTGGCCATATGCAGAAGAAGCCACAAACTTAGGATGGACTCAGACTGTAACGATTCATTCTTCTGAGAACTAACTGAGGCCCAGTAATATCTGTTGGTTTCTTTTGAAGGAGCAATCTCACCTAGGCCCCATTTGCTTAAGGTCCCCACATCTATGACATCAAAATACAGGGACAAAACACTCAACATGTGAGCCCTTGGGGGACAAACCACAGCCATGATCTTGTGTATCTTCCTCCTGCTCGTGTGAGATTAGTCTACTGACTTGCTTCTAATGAGGAAAACATAATTAAAATGTTAAAAGTGACAAATTCTACCATCACTATCACAGAGTAGAAGCCTGATTTTTGTCCTGTGTTTCTCTTGCTTTCCATTTTAATGAAGGCAGATTATGCTGTGAGCTGCCTTTTTGGAGAGGGCTATATTTGCAGGAATTGAGGGCAGTCCTGAACCACCAACCAGTGAGAAAATGAGGCTCTCACACAACTGCTCTCAAGAACTGTTGCTTGACAGCCTTGACAAAGTGAGTACAGCCTGTAAGAAGATCTGTGCCAAAGGCTCAGATGAGTCACACTTTGAATTCAGAGCCCTAGAAACCATGAGATAAAATATTGTTTTAAATCTTTTAGTCTAGAGGTAATTTACTAGCTATCAGGAGGTTATTAGTACACTGTCTACAGTGAGAGTGTTGATCACTTGGAGCTTTCACACTTACAAGCCCATGCCAGAGAAGTCTCC